ACAGTGTTGCTCTGTCACCAGGCTGGAGTGTAGTGGTGCAATCTTGGCTCACTGCAACCTCCGCCTCCTGGGTTCAAGCAATTCTTCCTCCTCAGTCTCCCAAGTAGCTGGGACCACAGGGGCGTGCCACCACGCCTGGCTAATTTTTTTGTATTTTTAGTAGAGACAGGGTTTCACCGTGTTGGCCAGGATGGTCTTGATCTCTTGACCTTGTGATCTGCCTGCCTCGGCCTCCCAAAGTGTTGGGATTACAGGCATGAGCCACCGCGCCCGGCCAAAAATGTGGTGACTTAATTCGCAACCAAATAAAGAATCACAGCAAAATTTAAACCATGAAACCAGCATATAGTCATCTTCTCAAGACAGAGTTGGATTCTCAACATGCTGCTGTATTTTACATCTGAGATAGCCTTTCCTAACACTGTCCTTATTTGGTAACTCAGGCTGCCAATCTACAGTCAGTGCCCCACCACTCTATATTACAGTTACCTATAGACGTTTAAGTTATTTTAAGTTGCTTGAGCACAGGAATTCTTATTTTTAAAAATCGAAACAAAAATACCTTTGATTTCCTGCAGTATCCACCATGGTGCTTTATAGAACTAGGCATTCAAAAGATATTCGTATGATGAAAGCTATTTTAAATGCACTATGGCACTGTTTTCATGCCAACCTGGACAGGGAAAATGACACTTGGTATCTGAAATGACATCTGGCAGTCTTAAGTAGAGAAGCACAACAGGTCATGAGGTTTGCTGAAATTTAATAACAAAACTTCATGTCTCACAACGATTCCTCCAAAATCCAAAAAGTACTAAATATATTTGACCTTAGGAACATCAGTGTTAGACTCACTGTAAAGTTTAAATAGCAAATAAAGGGGATTTATACTTAAAAGAAGGTCCACCCTATGGTGAGATATTTGGAGGAAGTTTGAAGGACTCACCCTATTCAGGAATTTTCATTACACCACCCAGGACAAATAGACATCTACACCTGTTCTGGGCCCAGAAACCTCTGGTATCCTTTCATTCCTGACAGCCAATTGTGCTGCAGTGCTTTTTGTAAAATGGTTCCCTTCCCAGCTGTTGCTGTCCTGTGACCACGACCTTTCAAACACCTGAGACTCTTAAACTGACATGACTCTTATAATGGAACACAGGATTCCAGACACAGGTTGGCAACCCGCCAACAGGAAAGTCAGGATGTCCCTGACTTTGAACACTACTTCCATTTATGCATTAGCTTTTGGAGCATGTGGCCAGTACTACTGTGAATCCAGGTAAAATGTTCAGTCACCTAAAACCTTTCGGAATTTTTTTTTAAATATGTAATTATCATACCATTACATGTACTTTGATTTACAGTTCTATGAATTTAAGGCAAGCATAGATTTAGGCAGCCACCACACTGGCATATAGAGCAAGCTTTTAAGGATTTTTTTTTTTTTTTTTTTTTTGAGACGTCTCGTTTTCTTGCCCAAACTGGAGTGCAGTGGCACAATCTCAGCTCACTGCAATCTCTGCCTCTCCGGTTCAAGCATTTCTCCTGCCCCAGCCTCTCCAGTAGCTGGGACTACAGGTATGCCCCACCATGCCAGGCTCATTTTTGTATTTTCAATAGACACGGGGTTTCACCATGTTGGCCATGCTGGTCTGAAACTCCTGACCTCAGGCGATCTGCCCGCCTCAGCCTCCCAAAGTGCTGCGATTACAGGCATGAGCCACCGCGCCCGGCCGTGAATTTTTAACATTACAAAATACCAGTAAGACTTAGCATTTATTCCTACTTGGCTTCATTCTGTGTCAACCACTGGGAATATCTGAATCTCAAGTAGGCAGGCCCTCTGGCATAATACTGTGATTCTCGTCCTCAGGCTGAAGACTTGATACCCAGGTAAACAAATGTGACAGATTATTGCTGCAAAGGCCCTGAAGCTGCATGGGCTAACCTCACCCAGTTTTAAAATAAGCAATTTCCCCCCTATACAATCTACTATTTTTACATGCTACTGGTAACAAATAAAAATATATTTAATCATTCTGGAATCCACAGTAATTAAATGTTGATTCGGCTAATACAAAAGTTAACTAGAGGAGTCTCGACATTACGTTATAGGGTACCTCATTTTCTTAGAATTGGGAATCACTGATGTACTAAAAAAGTAGTGGACTAAAAGTGACTCATTTCTATAGTTCTACAGGCAAAAACGAGGCCTCGGCTTTCTAGATCTCTTTGTTCTGTACTGCACACTTTGAACCCAGTAAGACTTGGAAGCTCCCTAAGGGCAAACCCTCTCTCTTCCTTGGCATCGTACCGGTCCTCCCTGATGTTGCTGGGAGCTTCCTAAGAGACACCGTCAACAATGGGGTAAGCCATTTCCTTTCCCTCTAGGATACCACAGGCTAGAGTTCTTTCAGCATCGTAAGTGCATGCAAAAATAGTTAGCTGTGATTTTTTTCCTTCTCTAATGCTTGCTTTTGTCTTCCTGGCAACCCCATGTATTCCGCAAGAACCATTCTACTCAAAAACACTCCGGTTTTAAAGCGGCAAAACTCAATGGTTCAGAAAAGCATGAGCTCTGAAGTCTGCCAGATCCAAGTCTCGTCTTGCTCATCGAGCCATGCTATCTTGGGCAAATCGCTTCATCTTTCTAGGATTCAGTGACTGCGAAATGTGGATGGCAGTAGTTAACTTCCTCGTATATCCTAACCACGAGGATTAAATGAGACTAAGTAAATCACTTAACACAGTGGCTAGAACTTCCTAAGTGCTCAAAGGGCCGCTATTATTTCTGCTCTACTTTTATACCACTCCTACAAGCACAAAATTTCTTCCATTCATGTGGAACCAGCTTGCACGTTTAAGATGAAAATTTCAGGACTGAAGTATTTTTATTTGGTTATTCCTACAGATAAACAAGGGAGACACGGGAAGTTGAAATAACTTACCAAACCCCCCAAGGCCAGCAGGTTACACAGTTTAGATGAAAATGTAGGTTGGCCACGACGGCCTTGCATTTTAGCTTACAGCAGCCAGCTCCCTCACTAAGGAAACTGGACGCCTCCTTTCCCTTAGTTCAGAGGCCGAGAAGGGTTAACATATTTATAAGCAAGGGCCCTAAGGCCTGGAAAAGCTATTGGCGCACAGCAGGCACTCCTTAAACCAACCAGCGCCAGCTGACCCACATCTAAGCGAATACCCCAGCACAACTTCCTTTCCTGTAAGAGGAAAGTAGGGAAAAAAGCCTAATATTGTTTGTACGGTAGTTTTACAAACTAGTTTTGTAAGAAAGTCTAATATTGTTTGTGCCGTAGTTTTTAGTTAAACGAAGACACTGAATCCACAGACAAGTTTCTCTTAGAAGGTAAACGTTTGCATTTGAAGGAGTGATGCCTGGAAGTGCTATTTCTAAACCCATAGAGAATCCTCCCACACCAAACCCTCCGACCTTAGACCCGCTCTTCGCAGCCAAGGTTCCAAGTCTCCTCTCTCCACTTCCAGGCCCCTTGTATCCGCTCAACGCCCAACCCCAACGTCCAGCGCCCAACGTCTGGCCTCCAACGACCGAAGCCCCCTCCCTTCCCCTCCATGCCGTCCCTCTCCTTTCCCCATACGCCTGGGAACCCTGACCTGGAAAGAGGCAAGAAGACTGCGTACCCAGCCCTGTCTCTGCAGCCTGGCGGTGGCGGTGACTGCCGGCGCCGGGAGCCCAGCCGCCAGGGATGCGTCCAGCACTCCCCTGGCCTCCAATCCCGAGTACGCCCTCCTACCTCCAGCGCGCGCCTGCGCACTCTGCGCCCACGTGCAACTCGAAGCGCCCACGTGCAACTCGAAGCGCCCACGTGCAACTCGAAATGCCCACGTGCAACTCGAAATGCCCACGTGCTCCCTCCGCCTTCCCCGGAAGCAACTTGTGCTCTAGTTGCAGGCTCAAAAAGCTCCTTTACAGAAACTTTATTTTGTTCTAGCTTCTTCTAGAAAGGTGTCCCTGGGAACGCCTTTGGCAGATTTTGGGCACAAAGACGCAGACTTCACTCAAAGGTCACTTGGGTCGCCATAGCCACTTAAAGGTCTTACCAGCTTTTCCAAATGAATCAACTGCCTCTGTCTGGTCTTGGAAACAAAACACACACGTGCTCATACTTTTTTTCTTCCTGACTGAGGCATGTGATTATACCTGTTGGTGTTTTGGTGTTACTTAAAGACAAGTTTGGTTTTCTTTTTTTAACTTTTTAACAATTTCGTAAGAGGGGAACCCCTGTGTACCTATCATCTAGTTTCCACATTATCAATTCATGGTTAATCTTGTCCATCTGTCACTTAGGCACTCTTTCGGCATTGTTTTGAAGCAAATCCAAGAACTGTAAATGTGAGACAAAGTAGCCAACGTCGGCCTCTGGCCCTCAGCATACTCCTCCCTCACTGTGAAAAGCCATGTTTGTTCATTGTGTTTGTCAGCATGATTTCAGACCCCCTGACTCAGTAACATCTTAGCCCTCAGGAAGAAAGCCTTGAGGACTGTGTAAGCAGGATAGAACTCAGGTTCCCACTACTTCTGAGAATCACTGCATTTTTAGAAAAGATACATTCAGTGATCTAGCCCTTGCCTTTTTCTGATAATGGACAAGATTAATAATACTGTAATGACCAGACTTACTCTTGTACCCAAACTTTGAAGTGATTTTGATTGTATATAGCTTCTGGGCACTTTTAAGGTAACACCTGGGCAGAACCTCTACCACCTCATATATAAAGTGTGCTGACACACTGCTTTGGAGTAGTTTAACAGACATTCTCTGGCTCTTCCTGGTTGCAATCCTTGGTAAGACTCTGAATAAAACTAGCTTCAATTCTTTAAAAGTCTGATTTTTTTTTTCTTTAGTTGATATACCTTTTTAATACATTTTAAATACACAGAGCAGTTTCAGGTTTACGGAATAGTGAAATGAAAGTGCTGACTGGGCACAGTGGCTCACGCCTATAATTCCAGCACTTTGGGAGGCTGAAGCTGGCAGATCACCTGAGGTCAGGAGTTCGAGACCAGCCTGGCCAACATGGTGAAACCCCGTGTCTACTAAAAATAAAAATTAGCTGGGTGTGGTGGCCAGCACCTGTAATCCCAGCTACTTATGAGACTGAGGGGGAAAATTGCTTGAACCTGGAAGGTGGAGGTTGCAGTGAGCTGAGATCCTGCCACTGCACTCCAGTCTAGGTAACAGCAAGACTCTGTTTCAAAAAAAAAAGGAAAAGAAAAAAAAGAAAGTGCTGTACAGAGTTCTGACAGAAGCTCATCATTTCCCCTATTATTAGTATGGTCTGTTAACATGATACATTTGTTACAATTAAAGAACCAACATTGATACATTATTAATTAAACTCCATGGTTTTGACTTCCTTAGTTTTTACCTATTGTCCCTTTTCTGATGCAAGATCTCATCCAGGATATCACATTACATTTAGTTTTCATGGAGCCTTAGGCTCTTCTTGGCCTGGGACTTCCTTTGACTTTTTGTTTTGATGACCTTGATAGTTTCCAGCAGTACTGTCAGGCATTTTGTAGGATGCCCTACTTTTGGAATTTGATGTTTTTCTCCTGGAAGGAAAGGAGCTATGGGTTATTGGAAGAAAGACCACAGAGCTAACAATGCCATTTTTATTGTATCATATAAAGTGTATATCCTTTGAATATAATTATTATAATTGATGTAGGCCTTAGTCATCTGGCTGTGGTCGTATTTGTTAGGTCTTTCTACTATACTCTCTTTTTTTCCCTTCCCTTTTCATATCATTTACACTTTGGAAGGAAGCTATTATTTGAAGCCCACATTTAAGGAGTAGGGAGTTATGCTGTCCCTCTTTGAAGGTGCAGTGTCTACAGAAATTATCTGGAATTCTTCTGCATGGGAGATTTGTCTCTTCTCCTCCATTTACTAATTTAATAATAGACTCTTGGATATTTATTTTATACCTTTATAATCCAATACTAATTTATTTCCTTGCTCAGATTTTTCCAGCTTTGACCACAGGGAGCTGTTTCAGTTAGTTTCTGTTCTTTCACATTCTATCATCAGGTGGAGGGTTTTTGTTTGTTAAACACTTTATTACTTTCTGGGATGTTGTATGTTTTCATCCAAAAATATTGTAAGTAAGTGTCTTTAAGAGATTACCCTTTTAAATAGCATCACCAAAACTTATAAACAATACTTTATCTTCCTTTTCCTTTCCTTTCCTTCCTCCTTTTTCTCCTTTCCTCTCCTTTCCTTTATTTTCCTTTCTTTCTGACAGGGTCTTGCTCTGTCACCCAAACTGGAGTGCAGTGGCACAGTCATAGCTCACTGTGGTCTTGAACTGCTGAACTCAAGCCATCATTCCGCCTCAGTAGTTGGAATTACAGGTGTAAGCCATGGTGCCTGGCCATAATTTCTTACTATCATAAAATTAGTATTAAATATTTCAAGATACATCAAATGTTATTATTTTTTTTCTTTTTAGAGATGGGATCCCACCATGTTTCCCAGGCTGGTCTCAAACTCCTGAGCTCAAGCAGCCCACCTTGGCCTCCCAAAGTGCTGGGATTACAGGTGTGTGCCACTATGCCCAGCCACTCTAATGTTATCTTACATAGTTGGCATGTTCAAATCAGGATCAAAACATTCTGCGTTTGCACTCAGTGATATATTTTTAAAAGGGATTTCTTTTTAAGTCCTGTACTTCTCTTGCAATTTATTTATTACAGTAACTGCAGGGGTTTTTTTCCATTCAATTTTGTTGATTGCAAAATATCCCCCTGGCAAAAATACTTCACAGGTGGTGTTGTGCTTCTCTATTGTAGCATTTCTGAAGATATAAAATATGTAATTGTTTCACTGTGGAGGATATTAAGATTGATGCAGTAGGTTCAAGTGTTGTCAGTCCCATCCATCCATTATAATATGAAGTTTCCTATCAGTTTTTCATCTAATGGTTCCAGATTCACAGATGATCATTACCTAGATCTATTATTTCATTAGAGTTTGCAAAATAGTGATCATCTTTCTTTCTGCATTTATTACATGGAGTTCTATAGAGAAGAACTTCCCCACGTTGCCTATTTCATTGACACTCAGTTTGCTACAGGAAAGGTAAGATGAATGCTTGATTGTTCACCTTTCTCAGTTCTCAGACTGTAACAACTTTTTGGCATCTTTCCAATAGGGTCAATGACATTAAAAAAAATGCACTCACTGATTTTTCACATAATTCGTCTCAACTCGTTGCTGTTATTATTTTTGAATGCTAAATTTGTCCTGTTTGAGAAGTTGGAGCATCTTTGAACTGGCTTCTGAGTCTTTTGGGCACAGCTCATGTTATCTTTGCTTTGCTTTCTTCCTTGCTTTCTGCTACAACCAACATGTCCTAGGCTATCTTGCATATTTCAACCAACATATCCTAGGCTATCTTGCATATTTCTTGCCCTGACTGGGAATTAGCACTTAACCTCCAGGAGGAGCCAAGGTAACTTTTTATGGAAAGTGATATTTAGAGATCATAATCTGGAGAATAGGAGTGTGCAATGGATTGGTCACTGGTCTAGTTTTCAGTGGACATGCCTTTTTTTCATGAAAGAAAAATGTACCATGAGTTAATTCTGATATTTCCAAATTCAAATATAGGATTGCAGAATTTTAATGTAATGTCTTTGGTTTATATTTGTATTTCTTTCCTCTTAGAGTGAAAAACGTAGTTTCCAAAGATGTATTTATATGCTTTATATTAATTGTAAATTCAGAAATAGAAATAGCAATAGCAATGTTATTACTGGCAATATGAGTACTGAAAACAGCTTCAGGTTTCTTCAGTTTTTTCCTCTTGTATTAATGTCTCCCTAGGAAGGTTTGGTTGCTTTATTGTTTTAAAGTCAAACCATTTCTGTGACAAGACACTTTAACTGCAAAATGTGCTTCAATGTAGTACCTTGATTTAAGGAGGAGTGAGGTGCCATTACACCTCCGTGTGTGTGTTTTGCCAGCAGTATCGAAGAAGCTTAATAGAATGGCAGTGAGTTTTGCTTTACGAACTCTTGCATTGCAGAAGCTTCTGAATTAGCTATTTTCATTCATGAGATGTATATAAGTCCTAAACCAAAGAACATCGTTTCCCGGACTGAGAAGGTTTGCAAAACCTCCAGAGACTGAACCGCTTACCTTCCTTCTCTGGTCCCGGCGGGGCAATTGTACCCAATACACTTTTTGTTGCCATGCTGCGTGCCAGGTTACCCAGCCGGGAGAGGACACTTCCTGCTATCAATGCACTCGGCCTGGAGCCAGGGACTAAGGCACCGACAGTTTATTATTAAACAATGGCAGCAGCGCCACGCTAAAGACACGAGTGCGCTGTTACGGAACCCCCCCAGAAGTTTCCCCGAGGCTGAATCATCGACCTGGCAGGCAGCCTGCTCCTGGCGACTCCGCCCACGTCAGGTGCAAGGTTTACGCATCGGGAAGCCACGATTTCAAATTCTCTTTTATTGCTTTATGTCCCTGACTCATGCAGGCCAAAGGGTGAGGAGGACTAATAGCCAACAAGAGCGTCCTGCAGAAAGAAAAAATCTGCGTGGGTCCAGAGGAGCGTTAAGAGTCAGGACCGCACCAAGAGAAGTAGAGCCGGCTCTCCAGGTCTGCGGGGGCGATGGTGCCCAGTCTGGCTAAGTGAGTGCGGGGCGGGGCCTCCCGGGCCGCGAGGTGGGAGGCGGAGCTCCGCCGGCCCCGCCCACTGCAGACAGATTACCCAGGACCTCAAGGT